CGTTCTTGCTACAACTATACTACTAATATAACTGCAGCATGGCTCTACTACGTGTAGACTGTTCTTAAAGTTGGTAGCAGCCACTGCCAGTTGTCACTTAATATTAAGTGGACCGTTAGCTCGTTTGTCATTCTTATACAGGCTGTCGAGACTGATCGTACAATACGTAGTATACGTGGTAGGGCCACGCTTCAGCTGTATTATAGTTATAGCGCGAATGAATCCGCTTGAGTGGGGTAGGACTATGCTCTCACAGAAAACCTACGTAAAATAGTAGCTTAATGCTGCTGTTCGTGTCGTGTGTGTAGAAACCGAAGACCCTTTTTACTGGGAACGAGGCATTCCATCTTAGCTCTCAGGGGTAACAATGAATCTCCATTTTGATTCTCAATCGAGGAGAAATGTAGATGTCTATGGGCCACATCATTCACTTACATGGACTGTGTGCTCGCTTTTCACACGTATTCTATAAAATACAATAAAGGGAAACTCAGTCTTTGCTAGTTCGATAAAGTATTTCAGAATAGTTTAGTTTATTCTTACGTCAAAATTAGAAGATGATTCATTTTAATATTAATTTAAGCGAGTTTAAAAAGCTTTTATAGTATAAATTGTACTTATCTTTATGAGTTGCAATGTCATTTCTTTATTTTGTAAAGTAATCTCCGTTTAATGTCGTTACGCCTACAGACTAGTTGGGTAGACTACTGGATGCATATCTTTTTTTTTCTACTATTAATTTTTTTATAGACAATCATAGCGACAAACGAGCACTCAGTCCACCTGATGGTGAATGATCCTGTGGCCCATAGACATCTACATCTATCCTTGATTAAGAATCAAAATGCAGAGTGCGTTGTCCCTGAGTATGCGATAGAATGCCTTGTTTCACGGTAAAAAGGGTCAGTAAAGAATAGTTCTAACGTATGCTTTTAAAGTATGTAATGAAAAATAATGTAATATTTAAATATAACTAAACTGTTTGATAGTCAACTTCTTTGAAATTTGTCTTTCTGTGGCAAGTCGATTTAAAACTATATTTAATTTCTATAATACTTTACATTATTTTCTAGCACAGAATAAATTTAAATGCTCACGTACTTTTTGATCATAAAACAGATTTTTGGATTTTATATATTAGGCATTTAAAAATGTGTATCTTATTTTGAAATAACAAAAATGATAGTCAATATAGCTTTGCTTATCCCCAGGTATCATGGGCAATGATCGATCTCTCTTCTACATCAACGATGATCTTAATAGGAAGGTTTATTGGAGGATTTGGTAGCGGTTCTATCTTCGTCTACGTGCCAATGTTTATTTCGGAGATCGCTGAGGAATCTATAAGAGGAACACTGGCATCTGGTATTAACACATTATATTTCAATAATATCATATAATAAATAATTGTTTTGCGATCGAGAGATAAGCGTGTAGTGACTGTAAAATATCCACCATCCTATATCGTCCTGTGAATGTCTTCAGGGGCGGCAAAGTGAAACTAGAAGAGGAAACAGACAGAATTCTCTTGCTGATAACAACTCAAAATTTTGAAAACTAGTTGCTAACTCGCCTACCAAACATGGAAACTATAATGGAGCCCTATGTTCAACAGTGGACTTTTATAGGCTGTACTGGATTCATGAAAGACGTGGAGAAATTAATATTTTCTATGTGATGTCGTGTGCGAAGTCTGATAATTTAGTCAGTGAATTTATTTTTTTTGAAACATTTTCTTATAACTTTACTTTACATATGTATATATTTTGAAAGGATAATTTGTCACCGTTGGGAGAAAAACAATCGATTTGTGTATCCGCAGCAGACTTATAGAAGCGATGGTGTAGCGTTTGACATTCAAAGAGTGCTTTGTAAAAGCGAATTTAGAAAAAAAAATTTGGCTTTGACTTTGACTTATAAAAGAATTGTTTACATTTTACATTACATTGACTGGCCTGTTGGTTTAGTGGTTAGTGACCCTGACTGCTATGCCGGAGGTCGTGGGTTCGATTCCCACCCAGGACAAATGTTTCTGTGATGAGCACGATCATTTGTTCTGTGTCTGGGTGTAATTTATCTATAATATTTATGTATTTAGAAATATATAAGTATGTTTATCAGTTGTCTAGTACCCATAACACAAGCTCTGCTTAGCTTGGGACTAGATGGCGTTGTGTGTGATAGTTGTGGAATATTATTATACGTGGGGTATCTATATAGTTTTCTCGTCTGGTTGGGATGTATAAATATATAATTATAAACGAAAATGAAAAGATAAATATACATAAATATTAATAAAATAAAATAAATAAAAAAAAAACATAAATAAATAAAAGCCCAACCAGATGGAAGCCCTCGGCAGGGGAGACCAAACGGCCGAGGGTTAGGGGGAAAGGGAAAGAAACCGGCGGACGATGCGGGCGGTATCGAGGAGCACCGCCTTCTGCATTTGAACCTGGAGCGGTTATTATTATTATTATTATTATTATTATGTGGGGTATCTATATAGTTTTCTCATCTGGTTGGGTTCTATAAATATATAATTATAAATGAAAATGAAAAGATAAATATACATAAATATCAATAACATAAAATAAATATAAAAGTGCATAAATAAGTAAAAGCCCAACCAGATGGAGGCCCTCGGCAGGGGAGACCAAACGGCCGAGGGTTAGGGGGAAAGGGAAAGAAACCGGCGGACGATGCGGGCGGTATCGAGGAGCACCGCCTTCTGCATTTGAACCTGGAGCGGTCCGCCACGTAGTCCCAGCCGCCTCAGATGACCCGAGAGGCTGACTGGGATTAGCCCGTTTGCAGAGACGACTACAGGAATAATTTCGGTCGGCAGACCACCCCACATATCGGTCACCTCGTGAGCCTGGTCCAGATATTTTGTTTGCTTGTCTGTTTCGGCTTTCACGAGGTTCTCGTCATACGGAATGGTAATGTCGACCAAAAATATCCTTGACTGTGCCCGGTCCATCAGCACAATATCAGGCTTATTCGCAAGAATAGTCCTGTCTGTGATGATGGCCCGGTCCCAATAGAGCCTGGCGCGATCATTTTCGAGCACGGCTTCCGGCAAGTACTTGTAATACGGCAATTTCCGATCCACGAGAACGTATTTCAGAGCGAGCTCCTGGTGTAGAATTCTGGCTACTAGGTTGTGCCTGTCCAAGTACTCAGAGTTAGAAAGCGCCGAACAACCGGAGATAACATGCCTAAGTGACTCACCGGGATGGCGACAAGCTCGACAGATGTCGACGGTGCCATCCTTTAGGATGTATCTCCGATAGTTGTTGGTCTTAATAACCTGATCCTGTATTGCACAGACAAAACCCTCGATTTCCCCGAAGAGATCACCAAAGCGTAGCCAGTGGAGGGAGGCTACTGTGTCTACGAAAGGCTCATGTAGAGCCTTGTAGAACCTCCCGTGGAGCTCCTTCTCCTTCCATACGGTCTCCCGGTCGGAAATGCTCTGCACTGCCGGGTCTTGCCATTGCTCGTTGGCTAAGGATAGAGGGGTAAGTCCTTTATCACAAGAAATGACGTCCTTATAGAATGGATCATCCGATCTCGCAAGGAAGTAATCACGGAGGCTGCACACTTCGCGATTATGCATGGTGAGCGCGCTCAAGAAGCCACGACCACCATGCTTCCGCGCCAAGTACAGCCTCATTACCGACTCTCGGATGATGCATCCTATGGGACGTCATGGTATTGCGGACTTTTCTATCCAGGGCGTTAAGTTCAGTCTGAGTCCACCTGAGTATGCCAAAGGTATACATGAGGACAGACATGACCCAACCGTTATATGCGTGTGCCTTATTCACACCGGACAAAAGGCTGTTAAGCACTTTGGTCAAGCGTGCATAAAACACGTCGCAAACTGACTGTTTCATACCAGCCTCATCGATACCGATGTTCTGTGACATACCCAGGTATCGGTATGTTTCAGCCTCGGAAAGGGTTCTTAAGTTGACGGGCATAGATAAGTCTATGCCCTCAGAGTTAGCAACCCTTCCCCTTTCAACATGGAGGACCGCACACTTATCCGTCCCCAGCTCCATTCTAATAGAATTGCTAAATTCACACGTGATGTTTAGCAATTCCATAAGATGGGAGCGACTGGAGGCGAATAATTTGAGGTCATCCATGTAGAAAAGGTGGGTCACTTTTGTACCTCCTTTCCGAAGCTGAAATCCCTTCCCGGAGCCCTCCAGTAAAGTACTGAGAGGGTTCAAAGAGAGGCAGAACCAGATTGGACTCAGAAAGTCGCCCTGGAATATACCCCTTCTTATCCTTATGCGGCTTTCCGCAGCCGTCATCCGCTCGCCTAGATGACAGAGGATCGTACTCCACTGCCCCATACACTGCTCGAGGAAGTCTCGAACTGTACAGTCAATCTTGTACAGCTCGAGGATCCTCTTTAGCCATGTATGGGGCACCGAGTCAAATGCCTTTCTGTAATCTATCCAGGCGGCGGAGAAGTTCCGACGGTTGCGTTTCACCACTTTGCCAATGACCGCGTCAATGAGGAGTGGTTCCTTGGTTCCACGACCGCCGCCCCGACATCCATTTTGAGCGCGCGACATCACCTGATTTAAGTCCAGGTGACGAGCGATTCTTGCGCTCAAAATGGATGTTAGTGTCTTGTATATGGTCGGTAGACACGTGATGGGGCAGTATTTGCTCGGGTCTGTGGCACCCTGATCTTTAGGAACCAAATGAGTGATCCCAGTAGTGAAGAGGCTTGGGAGCGACTTCTGGTTGAGAGCCTCTTGAAACTGTCGGGCGAGCACAGAGTGACACACCATGAACCCCTTCAGCCAGTAGTGATGCAGCCCGTCAAGCCCCGGACTTTTCCAGTTCGGGGCCCTACGGACCGCCTCAGCTACGTCATCCGGCGTTATGATGACGGGGTCCATGGGCGTAATACTCGCACACTGACTCGCCACAACTTCCGTCCAAGGGCCCTCGTTGTGGTTTACGGGCTCTGACTACAGGCTGCGCCAGAATGCGACCATGTCGGCCTGATTTGGTGCAGGGCCCGTTCCACTTACTATTGGTCGCTCCAATGATTTATAGAGCCTCTTCTGATCACTCTGGAAGAGACGATTCTGGTTGAACCGTGTCGACCTCTCGGTATATCGCCGAATCCGCTTTCCCCAAGCAGCTATTCTTTGCTTCAGGTCGTCTATGCGCTCCGTCAGTTTTTGCATTATATCCGGCTGGGACAAACTAACATTTGTCCCAGCAAACGCCATCCTGACGGTGCGCACAATCCTTGGTCTGGTATTGCCTGACCTGAAGCATATCAGTCTGCCGATGAGGGCCCTAGCCTTTGCGATACGTTCTTCAATTCTTATTCTCCAGGCTGGGATAGCACTACTTTGTCCAGTAGCGCGTCCAGCCGTGGAAAGTTTGGCACCTATAATACGGCAGACTGCCAGTGCAGCGCCAAAAAGAATTGAGTCCGTATCGCAAAGGTCCCGGCTGGCTTCCAAATAGGTAACCAGCATTGGGTTCACAGCCCTCACGACAGCCCGATTCCGCTTGCTTAGGGCTAAGCGGGGAAGTCGCGGTCGATTTTCGAGAGTCGTACTGCGCGTTTCCACAATCGCCTCTTCCAATGTACTCCTCATTTGCTCTAGTTCCAGTTCCTAGGCGACTGTTCCATCATCGTTTGAATCAACCACAACTGGCGTATTCACGGCGGCATCCACATTTGCCGTTTGCTCAGCAAGTTGTGGCGCCGCATCCTCAGCCGCAGCATTTTCACCCGATGAAGGAACAGCCTCACGTCGTAGCCGTTCGAGTTCGGTGACATCAAATGTATTTGAGCGCAAGATATACCGAACTCGGTCTGCCAGGTTTTGCTCGGTGACGGTTACAGATGGCTTCAGCTCAGCAAAAAGTCGATGCATCCTTGCCCGATACGCAAAACCTCCAGTTTCTCCCCCTTTCGCCCTAAAATACGCCCGCAATGCGTTGCTGTTCATCTGGGTTGTCCAACGCATGCGGCGTACTCCACCAGTGGCGGGTGCCGATTGCTGAGCCCGCGAAGACCCTGCCGACACCAAGCCAGCTGGTGGGGATGATGGATGCGAGGAGCTGCTGGGTGGTCGTGCAGCACCTCGCGCTCGGCTGGCGGTTCGCATGCTGTCGCGTCCAGCGCCAGCTCCAGACGCGCCCTGGCGACCTCCAGGCAGCGGCCCTTTGCGCGTTCCATTTGATTCCATCATCCATTTTAGGGCGTCATTTAGCGGGAGACGCCCAGATCCGGCGCCGTTTCATGGTTAGGCCATGTGCACAAGCGGGCCTTGGCACCTTCAATTTTTGCCGAGGCACGGCACTAACACCTCTTGGCAAGGTGCTGACTGACTGCGCCGACGTAGCGGTTTTGTCACATAACCGTTATATCAGCGGGCGATGGGGTCGTCACTTCCCTACGCCTTATATTATTATTATTATTATTATTATTTAGATATACTTTTCTTCCTCAGTTCCAGTTGCAATGTATTGTATAGGCATTCAAATGTCCTATATACTGGGTTGGTATCTGACATACCGATACGTTGTGTGGGTTAACCTGGCCTGCAGCATACTAGGAGTGGCGCTTTTGATGACGGTAACCGAAAGCCCTGTTTACCTTTTGCGGCAGAACAGAGAAGAGGTGAGTGTAGTACCTAGTATTTATTAAAAATGTTTTTAATAATCCGGTGTGTGATAGTAGCGTAAGTGGATGTGTTACTCGATTTCGTACCATGGGCATCGTAAGAAGCCATTACAGTCTATTAAAAGTCAACTGCTGTACATTGGCCTCCCACTAGTTGATACTAGAGTCCACTTCTTTTAAAGGCCGACAACGCAATAGCAATCCTCCAGATGTTGCAGTTGTTCATGGGTACTGGTAATCACTTCCCATCTTGTGAGCCGTGTGCTCTGATGCTCGTCTTAAATAAAAAAAAAACTGTCAGTCGTAGGAAGCACGTCAGCAGTGATAACTTCTTAGCTTCAGAAACTTGTAAACATTATTTTATGTTTGTAAAGAAATATTTTAGGGAGTATTTTCTATTAGAAATTATTTTTTTCGATGATTTAATATAGTCATAAAAATTTAATTTTTGCGCTGCTTTACATAAAAAGGAATGATTATTATCTATATAATACAAACAAATTTATAAATACACATAAATTATGTAATATTTAATCAATTTAAGTATAATTAATAATAGTATTTACAATTAATATTTGTTACACACAATATAAAAAAAACTATGATATAGAAAACTAAAACGAAAAATTTAAATTGTCGTAAAGTCCTGCTCCCGTGGTATCGTGCCAAGAACGCTGGCTGCGTTTCCTCACTGAATGGCTATACTTAGCCTTTGAGCGAGAAAAGAACCAGCCCTTTTATTACCAGCAGCGACGACCAGTCGCAGATACATTTCCTTTAGGAATTTCACTGCACGTGGACCCCACAGACCAATAGTCTCTACAGCAAATGGCATAAATATGTAGTTATTTCTCAAACACTCATATTCAAAATTGCTTTCATCAACATTATGTATCTGAACGTGACGGTCACGCGAGTTCGGTGCTTTTTCCCCATTCAAAAAGTGCCCAACGTGTCTTATAAATTAAAAATTAAATAGTTTTCACTTTAAAAAATCTTGGCGTGCAGCTTAGTGAGTACAATTCTTTTTTTAATTTTCCAGGTGTAATTACGAAGATGTTGCTGCACATCTTCTGGTATGTTACTAACTGCGTTTATAAACCCTGGGACGATATGGGGTAGTAGATATTTATTGTGAATAGCACAGCTTAGGATTAAATTAATAAAAGTATGGTCATAATATTTTCAGGATGCTAGACTAGCTATAGCTCATTACAGAGGAGAGTCGCCTGCATCAAAAATAGTTTTGGAGGAAGTGTCGCGGCTAAAACAACAGATAACGCCTGCTGTTGAACTAATAGCAACGAATATTGGTAAGGTGGAATAAATATTTTTTTAGATACATAGTACACTATATTTGCTTTATTGATCATTACCCTAAGGCTATTTATTATAGTAGCGATCCTTCTCAGCTTCGCACGGGTGATCTGGATCTCGACAACAGCGCCACCTACCGAGTCCAATTGTAGATCTAAGCTATGGAGGGACCCATTTTTGCACAATTAAAAAAAACACACACAATTCTGTTTAACACTATTGGCATGTACATGATCACCTTGCTCCATTACTGCATTGTTTTGGTGGTGGTTATTAAATAAGTTTCCTTACACACAAAAGATTTATTAATACTGGGAACTTTTAATAATTCACAATTTTTGACTCGCTGGAAATGTTCCAAGGATTGTATATTTTTTTAATATTTTCGCTTCCCGGAAAAATCGACGGAACATAAGACGGATGTACGTAACGTATGTTCCGATTTTTCGTTATTAATAAAATGAGAACTACAAATTCTTGCATTTTTATTTGGTGTTTTGGATTTTCTCTGAAATCAAAAAAATGAAAGGTTAAGTTTTTATTATGCAATAAATATCATAATAGCCAAAACTTAGTTATCATAATAATAGTTTTTTACATGCCTCGAATATAATCTGAAAATTTATTTTAATTTTGTAATGAATTTTTAGATAATCTAGGACTTATACATATTTTTACTATTTTTATCCACTGTTTACGTTTTGCAAATGTGAAAAAAATAAACGATCTGTACAAATATAATGTATTCTGGCAAACGATCCCAATCAGTTACGATGTTTGCCACCAGTTGGCGTAAAAGTCAAGATGCACGGACCCTACGAGTATAAACGATAATAAGAATAGAGCACACGCGATCACTTATCAATGTCAATCTTCGATCGATAGGATGGGATGGTAACGAGGTGATGGATGCTCTATCGCCGTCACCATACGAAAATTCATCTCTGACTTACCTCTTAGTCAAATTATTTAATTTAAAAAGTGAAAACTAAATTGTTGTTTCCTGAAGAAACATTTTGCTGAGGCGTATTTTCATCTGGCACTAAAGTAGCACTAACTTAGCATGTAAAATATGATTGTGTCACGAATGAGTTGGCTCGATCGTGGAGGGACCACGCTTTCACAGAATACCTGGGTAAAATATTGGCTTGATGCTTTGTTTCATATGGTGATTGTAGAGAACTGAAAATTCTTTTTAGATGAAAGGCCTATGGTTGGATGTGTGTTCTTTCATTAAAAAATAGTGGAGTAATTGTTTATATCTACTTATGATATTGTTTATATAGTTATACTATTTTCACGTGCAGAAATCTGCGTAATTTTTTTACAACGTGTAAACTTACCTAAAACTAATAAAATAAAATTTGCGTCTTAAATATATTTTTTAAATAAGGTAGATAAATAACGGCAGATAACGTCACTATTTATATATGACTTATCTTTAAATCTAAACCAACCTAAGTGGAATGTTATTATACTGTGAAAAACTGTTTTGTTTTCCTGTGAAATCATCATCATCATCATCATGACAAGTCAACTGCTGAACATAGGCCTCCCCCAAGGTATGCCACAAAGCACGGTTTTGAGCCACCTGCATCCATCGACTTCCTGCATGTCTTACCAGGTCGTCACTCCATCTAGTGGAGGGTCGCCCTACACTTCGCCTACCGGTACGAGGCTACCACTCGAGAACCTTTTTCCCCAACGGTTGTCGGTTCTTCGAGCTACATGACCGGCCCATTGCCACTTCAGCTTACTAATCCGTTGGGCTATGTCGTCACTCTGGTTCTACTGCGGATATCCTCATCTCTAAGTTTATCACGCAAAGAAACTCCGAGCATAGCCCTCTCCATAGCTCGTTGAGCGCCTTTGAGCGTCCTCATACGGCCAGCAGTGAAGGACCACGTCTCGGTTTCGTATGTCATCTGTACAACTTAGTTTTCAGGTTTTGAGGTATGTCTGACGAGAAGATGTGTCGTAATCTCCCGAACGCTGCCAAGCCGAGTTGAATCCGTCGATTGACCTCTCGGTCGAAGTTGTACTTACCTAGTCGGAATATTTGTCCCAGGTAAACGTACTCGTCAACAACTTCAAGCTTAGTGCTCCCAACAACTACCGGCATAGGTGTGACATGGACATTAAACATGATCTTTGTTTTGTCCATGTTCATCTTGAGACCTATCCATTGGGAGACACCATTGAGGTCACTGAGACATCACTGAACAGTTGCCGTCTGGTCGTCATAATGAAGTCAATCTCATTTTTTGTCGAACGCAGTTGTCGACATTATTAGTATTATTTGAAGTTAAAAGTATTGTTCGTTTACATTAAAATACATGAAGACTTGCGTACATGATTTTCATATAATAAACAGACCTTGTTTTATGTAATGTAGTCCGAGCATTGAGCCAGAGTAGATCAGAGACTGAGCTTTTTAATTTTATAGGTCGTAGAAAATATATGTATGCATATTATGTATAGGTAGTATTTTTTATAGAATGGAGGTGACAAATGAGCACACAGTCTACCTGATGGTAAGTAGATGCTGTAGCCCTTAGACATCTACATTTATCTTCGATTGGGAATAAAAATGCAGATACGTTAGAAGGACTACAATGCAACTGTTTTACTAAAATTTTTACGCTGGTATTCTGGTAAGTGGTCCTTCCCCGGATATATATATATGTGTGTGTGTGTGTGTGTGTGTGTGTGTGTGTGTGTGTGTGTATGTGTTTAATTACGTTAATATGTATATTTGTATGTTATATATAAATAAATGTATAAAGAACTAGTATTCACTCGAGTTCACTAGCAACGATAAAAATGTTTACTGCAATTTAAAAGATTAATTTAGTCGCTCTACAATACAGGGAAACATCTTGAGCAAAACTGGAAGTCTTAGAAGTTTAAGAACATTCTAAAAATCGTAAGAGCAATTTGGCACCATAAAATCTATAAACAATACATAAAAGCCAGGAGTTTATGAATAATACATCAATCCTCATTATCGTGTGGGATCTGGAGTTATCAGATAGATCGGAGAATAAATATCTCAAAATTAATTTATTTACGGAGAAAAGCGGTTTTTTTTTCGGATTTGAAGGTCAACATTTGTTTATGGGTATTTTTATTCAGTCGTGTTAAGAGTTAGGGTAGATTCATAATAAGTGGTTAAACTCCCCCACTCGTACAAGCAATATATAAAGAACTACGCAGACAATTAGCTTCGGTCATTCAACGAGTGTCAATTATTGTCGTCATTCTGTACGTCGTGGTAATGCTTTTAGTACCAGCAAAGAAGGTGACGTTGCAGTGTGGCCGCCCTATGTTGATATTGGTTTGCACACACCATTTATTCTCAGTAAATATATTGTACTTTCTTCTAATGCGTTCCAAGAATATTTTATAATGTAAAATCTTCTAAGTAGTGTTTATTTATTTAAATAGTTAAGAGTATTATCTAACAGTTGATTCTTTAACCATTAAGGCTTTACCATTTCAATATTATTGCTTAATCTCATTTTACAGTCTCGTTGGACTAGTGGTCAAAAACGCGACCGCTGATCATGTGTGTGGTCTTGAATTCGAATTGCGAGTCGGAACAATGTAATTAATTAGGTTTTTCTGTGAAGAAATTTTAAGTAGCAGCCATGTCTAGAAAAGCACAAAACTAAAACAATCGAAAAAAAAACATAACAATTTTTAAATAATGCTAGTTTTTACGGATTTTATCGCGTATATTATTTTATATGCCCTACGTTTCGAATACTTTAAAGCACCCATGGTCACGGGGGGAACTGAGATACAGGGTATAGTGTTATTTAAATGTGTAGTGTTGATGTAAGTATAAGAAATCTTATATAACATTTTGTTACAGAAGACAACCCTAAAAGAAAAGAAGCGGAGAAGGAAAAACTCAATACGGATGATTTTTCTCCAAAAATGCAAACGAGAATGTCGCCTCTCAAAGTACTGTGTAAGTAGCTTAATGTTTTACAGTCCAATTACAGCCTTAGTAGCCCTGTAAAATTTAAAAACATTTTAAATTCAAAGTTCGTTCATTCATTACAGCTGACTTCTAAACATAGGCCTCCCCCATAGATTATTAATTTCATAGGAGGAATTCGTCATAGATGCTATGCCTGGCAGACTGATGAGTAGGCGCAGTCTTCTGTTTCTTTTCACACCACGGATATGGGTTAATACGAGTAGACGCTTCTACAAACCGTAATTTAAAAATTGAATATTTTTCCGTTAACCTGTATTGAATTGGAAAAGTTTGTGTAAATTTTTAATATATTATATTTGACATTGAGTTGAAAGTGAATTACAGCTTATATAATATACAAACTCAAAATTTTATGAATTGCGATCAAATTATGATCACCAGACAATCATATGTAATAATAAATTAGCATTCTGAATTTGAGATCCGGTGAAACCACATAAGTAGTAAATCATGAGTCAGTTCATCCGGAAAAGGACACAGACTAATGAGTGTTTCAGTGTGTTGCAGCATAATTTGTTTTGTTACGTATAGTTAGTGTAAAGAACTGGAGAACCAAGTACCTAATCAATTTTTAAACAAAAAAAAATTACTTCTCAATTTCAGGTAATAAGATTTTAATCATATTGTTATTTTACATTTTTTACAGTTTTATCACCATCATCACGTCGAGCATTCATCGTGGTGGGATTATGCCTTGCTTTGCAGGTAATTAAATAACATAGCATCACACTTTAACTATTAATACATCCTATCACAATTCTACTGCTGAACGTAGGATTCAGCCATAAATTGCCGCAAAGTAAGGGCCCGAGTCACCTCCATCTATCGGCTACCTATATGCTTAATCAGTTCGTCACTTCATTTATAGGCAAATTACCCTACACTGTGCTTTCCATTACGACTGCTATTCGAGAAGTTCTTCCTTATTGCATGTTGGTTCTTCAAGCTATATGGCTGGCCTATATCCACTTCATATTACTGATAGTCCAATATGACTGTTATATTGGCATTTATATAAGACTGCAACTGACTTGATTTATCCTATACTCGTAAGTTCCTCGAACTGAGTAAAATTCAGGTGCTAAGGTAATTAAATGTCCTGATACAGACTTAGACAGGATACAGATACAGACAGGAGTTTCTTTTCAAGCTAGATGAACATAAGCACTACCAATAACAAAAACCCATCCACAATACAGGAGAAAGGCCAAGTGTGGGAGTAAAGTTTTTTTTTAAGTCAATAAGTATGTTTGTTGTAACAACTACTAGCATAAGCGTGACGTGACTTGTCATTGCGTAGATTTAGTAGCACTTATGTTATTTTGAAAGCAGTATGGAAGTCGTCGTTATCTCGGAAGTGCCTTACATAATTACTAATATCCTAAATGTATAGTTGATAAGTTTCAGATATACGAAGTACATTTCTGAAAAAGCGAGCTGTGTCATAAAATACCGATGATCAATTTGGCAAAAATATTCCTTTCTAAACTCACAAGTCAATTTTTAAGAGATTTCTTTCACTCAACTTTTGTTTCAATAATGGGAGTGACAAACCAGTACCCAGCCCACATATAATAAGTGAGTGCTGTGGCCCATCGACATACTTTTTATCCTAGATTAAGAATCAAAATGCAGATACGCTGTCACCCCTGAGGACTACGATGGAATGCCTCGCTTCCAGTAAAAAGGGTCTTCGGTTCTCTGCACTCACCATACGAAACAGCAGCATTAAGATACTTTTAGGTTTTTAGCAACAATACCATTACTTTAACTGTGTTGTAATTTTGCAGGTCATGATGGGCATGTTACCTGTGCAAGTGTACGCGAAACAGATTTTTACCCAAGCAGCCCCAAGTCTGTCGTCTCACTTCTGTTCCATTATGTTAGGTATGGTCCTCCTCGTTGGAAGTTTATCAAGTCTTGTGATGACTGACAAGTGTGGAAGAAAGGTACGTTTCCATCTTTTAACTCATTATCGTCATCCTCATTATTTTGGTTTTAAGTGACTAATAGATATTAATAATATCGCTTTTGAGTGCACTCCTTTTACAATATGCCAGTGTGTGGTTCATAGGCTTAGTTCTTGCTGAAGCTGAAGCTTGGTTTAGTTTAAGTTCCATTTGTTCCATTATCGTCATCCTCATTATTTTGGTTTTAAGTGACTAATAGATACTAATAATATCGCTTTTGAGTGCACTTCTTTTACAATATGCCAGTGTGTGGTTCATAGGCTTAGTTCTTGCTGAAGCTGAAGCTTGGTTTAGTTTAAGTTCCATTTGTTCCATTATCGTCATCCTCATTATTTTGGTTTTAAGTGACTAATAGATACTAATAATATCGCTTTTGAGTGCACTTCTTTTACAATATGCCAGTGTGTGGTTCATAGGCTTAGTTCTTGCTGAAGCTGAAGCTTGGTTTAGTTTAAGTTCCATTTGTTCCATTATCGTCATCCTCATTATTTTGGATTTAAGTGACTAATAGATACTAATAATATCGCTTTTGAGTGCACTTCTTTTACAATATGCCAGTGTGTGGTTCATAGGCTTAGTTCTTGCTGAAGCTGAAGCTTGGTTTAGTTTAAGTTCCATTTGTTCCATTATCGTCATCCTCATTATTTTGGTTTTAAGTGACTAATAGATACTAATAATATCGCTTTTGAGTGCACTCCTTTTACAATATGCCAGTGTATGGTTCATAGGCTTAGTTCTTGCTGAAGCTGAAGCTTGGTTTAGTTTAAGTTCCATTTGTTCCATTATCGTCATCCTCATTATTTTGGTTTTAAGTGACTAATAGATACTAATAATATCGCTTTTGAGTGCACTTCTTTTACAATATGCCAGTGTGTGGTTCATAGGCTTAGTTCTTGCTGAAGCTGAAGCTTGGTTTAGTTTAAGTTCCATTTGTTCCATTATCGTCATCCTCATTATTTTGGTTTTAAGTGACTAATAGATACTAATAATATCGCTTTTGAGTGCACTTCTTTTACAATATGCCAGTGTGTGGTTCATAGGCTTAGTTCTTGCTGAAGCTGAAGCTTGGTTTAGTTTAAGTTCCATTTGTTCCATTATCGTCATCCTCATTATTTTGGTTTTAAGTGACTAATAGATACTAATAATATCGCTTTTGAGTGCACTCCTTTTACAATATGCCAGTGTGTGGTTCATAGGCTTAGTTCGGGTATTTTATCCGCCTTGCTTGATACTAAATGAAGCTTGGTTTAGTTTAAGTGACTAATAGATACTAATAATATCGCTTTTGAGTGCACTCCTTTTACAATATGCCAGTGTATGGTTCATAGGCTTAGTTCTTGCTGAAGCTGAAGCTTGGTTTAGTTTAAGTTCCATTTGTTCCATTATCGTCATCCTCATTATTTTGGATTTAAGTGACTAATAGATACTAATAACATCGCTTTTGAGTGCACTTCTTTTACAATATGCCAGTGTATGGTTCATAGGCTTAGTTCGGGTATTTTATCCGCCTTGCTTGATACTAAATGAAGCTTGGTTTAGTTTAAGTTCCATTTGTTATTTGATCATCATCATAATTGTCATCATCAGCCAGTAATAGTTCACTACTGGAAATGGGCCTCTTTCGTTAAAGGGAAAATTTGCCTTCATCCACATGTTTATTCGGTGGATTGAGGATCAGAAGTCTAGCAGTTTTGACTGTGCTATTCGTTGGTCTGGATATTTTACCTCTGGCGTAAACGAGAAAGTTCCAACACTATTTATCGAAAGACAGTTAGACTTTCGTACTATATAGTGTTGGTGTAAGAATATCCACTACAGCGTATGGTCCCCTTGGTGCGGTAAGAGGCGACACGGGGAAACTAACTAGGAGATGGGTAGCAGCGTCTTCCTAATAGCAACTATAAACAAAATACCTCAGATGCCATACCTGCACTTATGAGGCAATATTTGAAGAGACCTATCTTTAGCAGTGTACTTGGATTAGCGGTCACTAATGGATGGATAAATATTCTCAAAGTCATCTCTTACAACGCCATCGCGTAGGTGCCGGCTTCTTGTATGGGTTCTCTTACGCTTCCTACATACGGTTATAATTTGATAATGATTTTCCATTTCATTTTTCAGTTCCTTTTGATAATTTCGTCGATATTGGTAGCCCTTTGCCTCAGCTCTATGGGCATATTCATGCAGACTGATATTGTACCACCGTGGGTGACTGCAGTGCTCATCCTGGTGTACTGTTTCTCTTTCATGTTTGGAGCCGGTAGCATACCATACGTATTAATCGCCGAATGTTTCATGCCAGAGGTAGGTATTATTAAATTTTAATTGTTAATGGAGTTGTGTAGCCCAGCCAAGAGCTCGCCTTAAAATTAAATAGCACGTGAACAAACAGAGTTTGATCTCATAGGCAGTACGAGACTTTCACTCGGGGACTATTCTCTATGGACTGTCAGTTCTTTTACGTAGTAGACGGTCGTAAAATAGCTTCTTACGATATCAACGGGCGAGATTGTGATTAAGTTTCTTATATTACCATTACACTGCAATTTTTCTTTTTTGTTTGTAGTGATGTGGAGACGCGGATTTGAATCTCGCACAGAACAGGTGTCTGTATGGTCTACAAACTATTATTCTAGGTCTGGATGTTGTTTTACAGAATTTATGTATGATCAACACCTCTGCAATATAGGAAAAATCTCAGTTCAGTGGTAAATGTTGCCAGGAAGATATCGCTTTAGTTTAAATTAAACGTGCACTTTTTACTACACTGCGCGACGCAAAGAAGAGTAATGTGTTTATCAGTCTATATATGTATGTATGTATGTATGCATATTTGTCTCTTAGTGTCGCTCTATAAACGCATAAGTCGATATTGATGATTCTTACGACAATCGATTTGCCTTAATCTTGTGAATGTCACTGAAGACATGATAGTAATCAAAATTCAAAATGGCGACAACCAGACGCCATTTTGTGGAAAAAATTTAAACCGACGAATTATGCCAAGTGTTTTAACTAGGTATGGGCCGAATATGGATTTCACCGAATACGAATATTCGGTAAATTTTTTACCGAACCGAATATTCTGCCGAACATTATTCGGCAGGATGACCTCATCTGACCTGACCTCATCTAACCAATTTATGTCGAAACTAGTTACCGTAAAGCGCGCGGGATTAGCACCGTACCCGGCCTCTCGCTCCCCGCCACACCTGACAGTTATTGCATCATCTAGTACTGAGCAAATTGCCGGCACATGCTTATGTTTTGACTATTCTTGTGATAAAAAAGTATTTCGTTGTTTTATTCTTAATTAAAGTTAAAGTTACAGCATATATACGTCCCACTCCTGGACACAGGCCTCCGCTCATTTCTGAAAGGGTTTTAGGGCAAGGAATTGTCCGCCGCACTCCCCCAATATGCTTGTTGGCGAACTTCACATGTCTTCGAAATATTTTTTCTTATTTTTCAGACATGCAGGTTTCCTCACGATATTTTCAAAATTTTTTGTAAATCGGCACTTAAAATTGCAATTAACAATTTCATTGGTGCCAGCGGGGATCGAACCCGGTTTGCTCACGAACTGTGAAATTTACAACGAGCGCTAACCATCTGAGCTACCACGGCTCTTTATTATTAGTGAATAAAGTAAAGAGCTGTAAGAATTTTATTCTTAGTGAAAATTGATAATATATGATAAAAATGAGCGGCAGGAGATTTACTATTTGGATTTATTTTAGAGAAACTGACGACCAAAGTAAAGTGAAATGTACTGATGTAACGTAATATTTCTTTGTTTGATTCCAAAAACATTTTATCAAGTTTCTATTTGACATAATCGGAAATAAATCCACAGTGCCTCAAAAATATAAATGTATAGATTTATGCATTTGAGGCACTCTAGAGTAGGTAGATTTAACCCATAAATAAAATATACTTTCATCAGTAAAAGACATATTCGTACATTTCAATACATTAGACACTATGAAAACGAATATTCGGTAATTTTGTCGAATATTTGGCCGAATACGAATATTCGGTAAGGCTGCCGAATATGCCGAATACCGAATATAAAACGAATATTCGGCCCATCTCTAGTTTTAAATATTCAGATTTTTTTTTGGTAAATTATTATAGTGTTCAATAAAGTAAGTAAATTATTTTGAGGTGTTAATAGAGTATTCTCATATAGTTGGGCTGAATTAATATATTAAAGGAAATGATAAATATGCATACATATAATATATTTAATATACTTACATAAATAAATAATACATGCATAAATAAAAGCCCAACCAGATGGAAGCCCTTGGCAAGGGAGACAAAACAGCCGAGGTTTAGAGGGAAAGGGAAAGAAATCGGCGGACGATGCGATATTTTTTTTGCGCCCGAAGCAAATAAAGGGCTACCCTATATGTAGGGAAGCGGAAAATGCATTACGCATACCACGATATCCGGTCTATCGTGGTTATGAGGGGAACCTAAGTGTTACCCTTTAAAAACCGCCTTTGGGGACTGGCACCTGGCTGTTTAAGCTTTCTTATGTTGTATCGGGAGCGACCCTCTTTTGTGAAAAGAGGGCGCAGGCGGCTACGAGCCGCTGAGGGAGTGCCTACGAAGGCAAATTAATTATGAATAATTTAATTTATTTAGAGTTGGCCTGAGCCGCCAGGAGGCAGTTCGGGTCGTTTGACAGTTTATTAGGCGGGTCAGAGTGAGAGTTTCTCGGCCTGCGGACTCGATAGCGAGATGTGGGGGGTGGGGCTGCATAAGTAGCTGCCTCACGAATAAAATGGTTGGAGTGCGACTCTGATGCTTTGAAGAAGTTCTCAGAGAGTTTTTTTAAGAATTGTTGAATTGTAGGGAGTTCTAGGTTCCGATGAACCAAGGTGCGTTCGCAGCTCGACGACAGAAAAGGTTTTGAACTATTTGGAGTTCCTTAATAATTTTAGGGTCGGCGTGGACAAAAATGGGGCCCGCGTAGGACATGACTGGTCGTATACAGACCTTATAAAGGATACGCTTGTTTCTGAGGGACATTTTACTGTGTCGGCCCAACATACTGTTGAGCCTACTCAGGTAAAAACATGCGTAACGGGTTACTCTTTTGACGTGGGCCTGAAAGTGAGCCTTGTGTCTAGAGTGACACCTAAATTGTATTTGGCAGTCGTATGCCAGGGTACAGGGGTCCCTAGAATACGTATTGGTGGAGTATTTTTGAGACGGCGTCGTTTATAATCGAAGTGAACGGCAGAGCTCTTCTCCGGGTTCACATCGATGCGCCATTTTTTGAACCAAGATCCTAGGTCGTCAACTGACTTTTGAACCTTGTTCCGTATGAAAGGTAGCGAGATACCGAACACCTTTCGACGGGATGGGAATATCGTTGGTGAACAGGATGTTTAGCACAGGAGCAAGTATTGAGCCCTGAGGGACACCAGCTTTGATAGGGCGCTGTGAAGATAGCGTGCCTTCGTGTCTAAAACGAAATCGGGCGGTATCTAGGAGCACCGCCTTTTATATTTTAGTCCGGAACGGTCCGTCACGGACCTGACAGGGTTTCACGGAAAGGCTGACAGGGATTCGCCCGTTCGCAGAGACGACTACAGGAATAATTTCGGTTGACAGACCACCCCAGATGTCAGTCCCCTTGTCAGCCAGGTCCAGATATTTTGTGTTATTTTTATCAATATTAAAACCCAACCTCTCCGCTTCGTGTTGGAGGTGTACAAAATAGAGTGAAATATTGTCTATGTCATATTACTCCAATTTCAGGTACAAGGTTTAGCGACTGTACTCTTAGGTGAAATGGTCTGGCTTTTCAACTTCGCCATCATTGGAGTCTTCCCTTTTATGATCAAATACATCGGTATCCACAGCTCTTTTTACATATTCGCTTGCTGCGCCGTCTTTAATAGTTTCATTGCCTACTTTCTCGTACCTGAAACTAAAGGTCTCACCAAAGATCAAATACAAGAAAAAGTGTTAAGAAGAAAAAAATAACATAGTTGCGCTTATTGTAATTATAAAAATAATATTAAGGGTCAAATACAAGAAAAAGTGTTAAGAAGAAAAAAATAACATAGTTTCGCTTATTGTAATTATAAAAATAATATTAAGGGTCGTTATAATAAATCTCTTATTAATTTCTTATTGTGAAATATTAGTTATTTAAATATTGGAATGTTAATGATTTTATTATAATGTATATAATAATATTGGACATAAAAACTTAGTATAAAATTGAATAATTTTAATCAATTTTGATATGAAATTTATTTTTAATCAGTGTTGTAATGTGTAAATATTTTTATTTAAGGAAAAATAAATATATATAACCGTGTATAAATCTCAAAGCAAATCGCCCATGATGAGAAAAGTCCAGTATTACGATCCTCAAATCCCTTGAGCCTAGTAGCAAGTAAAGAGTACCTGTCGAGAGTCGCTTGTCAGTCAGCGGCAAGCATTCGACCCACTTTTATCATTTAAATCATTGTCGTCATCATCATAATTACCAACATAAGAGTTTCTTACGAGTCCACTGCTGAAAATATGGCTACCTGTACGTGGAACACTCAAAACAAAAATGGTTAAAGATTAAAGCTATTATTAAATCTTTTCAAAGAACACTACACCACTGTTTCAAGCATCTGAACAAATTTTCGCAAAATTTTCTTCGTCACCAGATCCAGTATTCATAAGGAACACTGAACATTACAAGGAACCGAAGCCGTGTTTAAGTGACGTCATACTCATATTGAGAGTGTGGCAAAAAGAGACAAAGAGTAGATTAAATATTTTGTTGAGAGTCCAGAAAGCGCACACAGAATAAAGCTCAGTGCATCGCTTGAGGTAGGGCACCTCAAGGTGATAGTGGGACCATGTCAGGTGAATGATTGCTAAATATAGAACAACTCAGAAGGCTGCTGCTTCTTTACTGTACACAGGTCTCCCCTTAGGAATGCCACAAAACGCAGTCACGAGCCACCTGTGTACAGTAGGCTGTACCGGCACTAAGCTGAAACTTGAGAACTTTTAATTCCCATCGGTGGTTGGTTATTTGAGCTATATGGCCAACCGGCGAAGATGGCAAACCTTTGGTATTCCACGTTTGTAGCATATTGACTGGCCACAAAAATGCTATCGTATAAATCCAGGCCACCAGCGCCAACCGGCCCTTGGCAGTACCTCCTTGAGATAAGACGAATCTTCCCCCTCTTAATGGTGGAACCCACAGACCCATAAAGTGGAGGCCGTGAGGTTAAGAAAAAACTCAAGTGCCTGTATGCATCAGCCATCCTGGTCTCAGCAGTGGATCTGCCGCCAACTGTTTCGGCCGTTACATCATTGCATCATAATATCTACATTACACGACGTAACGACACGACACGATCATAATATCTACATTATGCACATTTACCGTTCTTATATTACTTAAAAACTTAAAATATTAAAGTCTGCATTTCAAAGAGCTACCCGAAGGTCAAATAAATTCATAACATAACATAACATAAACACTCACGCCTGTCACCCGGAGGGGTAGGCAGAGACTACACACTTCCATTTGGCACGATCCTGACACACCTCTCTTGCCTCCTTCACATCCATACACCTACGCATACATGCTCGTCGGTTAAGGGTACTCCTAATTTGGCCCGTTTTCAATCAATCGCCAATTTGGTCGATAAATTTTCGCCTAGGACGTCACTTTCCGACTCTGCCATTCACTTCTGCATCATAAATTTTCTTTGTCACTCTTTCCTCATTCATTCTTTCCACATGACCAAACCACCGAAGCATTCCTTTCTTAATCCTGGTCACAACATCATCTTGCAAACCACACTCTTCTCTTATTACACAATTTCTTACCCTGTCATTCAGATTCAGCCCTAACATACTCCTTAACGACCGCATTTCTACTGCGTTTATTCTACTCTCGTGATTCTTCTGCCACACCCAACTTTCACTACCATACGTTAAGTAGGGACCAACACAGCATTGTGAATTGCCATACGTGCCTTTTTCGACACATTTTGACTGTTCACAATAGAGTGCAAGGCCCCATTTACTCTATTTCAAATAAATTCCTATAATTTTGTATCTTAATTTCTTCTCAATTTATAATTTCGTATACAAGTTAGATTTTTTTTAACTTTACCGCTGCGTTATCGCTAAGTTTAATTTAATTCAAGTTGAAGCTTATGTCGACGAGTTATTAGGATGATATATAGATTAGTAGAGTCGCGGTTTTATTGGAACTCGGCGTCAACTAACAATAATTGGAGTTCTCCAACTTGTTTAGTGTGATGTAACTTATGTACATAGTCACAAGAATATAATGTATACAGACAAAATCAAATCAAATTACATTAATAAAATACAGGGCCGTCTTATAAATAAAATAAATAAACATTGCCAGTAGGCAGTAGTAGACTTATAAGCTCAAATAAGTTAGGCTCAGTAAAATAAATATTATTTAATACTTTGTTTGTTACTATTAGTTGTATTGTTGCAATAATTATATGTAAAAAAATTATGACAGTTAAAAATATTTCTCAATTACTAATTTGAACTGGCTAATACTCGCTAATACTTGGGAAACCACGAGAGGTACTCTAATATGAACAGTTGTGATTAAATGTAATATAAGCAGGGATGCGCGCGTACTGTACTCTTCATTTGTTGGGCACTGGCAGAATAACTGCGTTGTGGTAAACTGCAACATTTATGCTGAGCTAGAACCCATTCATTACTGCACTATGTAATTTTAGGTTATTTCTGTGTGTACTGCTCACTGTAACTTTATTGGTGGTGATGAATAAATGTTTTATTATTATCTTGGGGTATATTTGTATATAGTATATTTTATATTTATTTATATTATCTATATAGTATTCTCATCTGGTTGGGTTTCATAAATATATAACTTCAAACGAAAATGATAAATATACTTACCTCAATAAAATTAAATAAAATAAATACATAAAAAAAGCCCAACCAGATGGAAGCCCTCGGCAGGGGAGACAAAACGGCTGAGAGTTAGGGGGAAAGGGAAAGAAACGGACGGACGATGCGGGCAGTATCGAGGAGCACCGCCTTCTGCATTTGAGCCCGGAGCAGTCTGTCACGGAGTCCCAGCCGTCTCAGATGACCCGAGAGGCTGAATGGGATTAGCCCGTTTGCAGAAACGACTACAAGTACAATTTCGGTCGACAGCCCACCCCATATGTCGGTCACATCGTGAGCCAGGTCCAGATATTTTGTTCGCTTATCTGTTTCGGCTTTCACGAGGTTCTCGTCATACGCAATGGTAATGTCGACCAAAAATATCCTTGACTGTGCCCGGTCCATCAGCACTATATCGGGCTTATTCGCAAGAATAGTCCTGTTTGTGATGATGGACCCGTCGCCATAAAGCCTGGCGCGGTCATTTTCGAGCACGACTTCCGGCAAGTACTTGTAATACGGCTGTTTCCGGCCCAAGAGACCGTATTTCAGAGCGAGCTCCTAGTGTAGGATTCTGGCTACTAGGTTGTGCCTGTACAAGTACTCAGAGTTAGAAAGCGCCGAACAACCGGAGATGACATGCCTAAGTGACTCACCGGGATGGCGACAAGCTCGACGGATGTCGACGGTGCCATCCTTTAGGATGTATCTCCGATAGTTTTTGCTCTTAATAACCTGATCCTGTATTGCACAGACAAAACCCTCGGTTTCCCTGTAGAGGTCACGAAAACGTAGCCGCGAGGCGACTGTGTCTACGAAAGGTTCATGTATAGCCTTGTATAACCTCCTGTGGAGCTCCTTCTCCTTCCAAGCAGCCTCCTGGTCGGAAATGCTTTGTACTGCCGGTTCTTGTCATTGCTCGTTGGCCAAAGATAGAGGGGTAAGCCCTTTATCACAACAAATAACGTCCCTATAGAATGGATCATCCGATGTCGTCAGAAAGTAATAACGGAGGCTGCACACTTCGCGGTTATGCATGGTAAGCGAGCTTAACAAGGCCCACCCACCATATTTCCGCGGCAAGTACAGCCTCATAATCGAAGATCTCGGATGATGCACCCTATGGGACGTCATAGTAGTGCAGACTTTTCTATCCAGAGCGTTAATTTCAGTCTGAGTCCACCTAAGTATGCCAAAGGTATACATGAGTATAGGCATGACCCAACCGTTATATGCTTGTGTTTTATTCACACCGGACAAAAGGCTGTTAAGCACTTTGGTCAAGCGTGCATAAAGCACGTCGCAAACAGACTGTTTCATACCAGCCTCATCGATACCGATACTCTGTGACATACCCAGGTATCGGTATGTTTCAGCCTCGGAAAGGGTCCTTTAGTTGACGGGCATAGATAAGTCTATGCCCCCAAAGTTACAACCCTTCCCCTTTCAACATGGAGAATCGCACACTTATCCATTCCCAGCTCCATTCCAATAGAATTTTATTGAATTGCTTATGGAACATGCTTATGGAATTGCTAAATATTATTAGATATTTAGCAATTCCATAAGATGGGAGCGACTGGAGGCGAATAACTTGAGGTCATCCATATTGAAAAGGTGGGTCACTTTTGTACCTCCTTTTCGAAGCTGAAATCCCTTCCCGATGCCCTCCAGTAATTTACTGAGAGGGTTCAAAGAGAAGCAGAACCAGATTGGACTCAGACAATCGACCTGGAAGATACCCCTTCTTATCCTTATGCGGCTCATCCGCTCACCCAGATGACAAAGGCTCGTACTCCACTGCCCCATATATTTCTTGAGGAAGTCTCTAACTGTACAGTTAATCTTGTACAGCTCGAGGACCATCTTTAGCCATGTATGGGGAACCGAATCGAATGCCTTTCTGTAGTCTATCCAGGCGGCGGAGAAGTTCCGACGGTTGCGTTTCACCACTTTGCCAATGACCGCGTCAATGAGGAGTGGTTCCTTGGTTCCACGACCACCGCCCTGACATCCATTTTGAGCATGCGACATTACCAGATTTGAGTCCCGGTGACGAATGATTCTCACGCTCAAAATGGATGTTAGTGTCTTGTATATGGTCGGTAGACACGTGATGGGGCGGTATTTGCTTGGGTCTGCGGTAACCTGGTCTATAGGAACCAAATGAGTGATCCCAGTAGTGAAGAGGCTAGGAAGCAACTTCTGGTTAAGAGCCTCTTGAAACTGACGGGCGAGCACAGCGTGACACACCATGAACCCCTTCAGCCAGTAGTGATGCAGCCCGTCGAGTACCGGACTTTTCCAGTTCGGGGCTCTACGGACCGCCTGAGCTACGTCATCCGGCGTTATGATGACGGGATCCATGTGCGTAATACTCGCACACTGACTCGCCACGACTTCCGTCCAAGGGTCCTCGCTGTGGTTTACGGGCTCTGACCACAGGCCGCGCCAGAATGCGACATTGTCGGCCTGATTTGGTGCTGGACCCGTTCCACTTACCATTGATCGCTTCAATGATTTATAGAGCCTCCTCTGATCACTCTGGAAGAGACGATTCTGGTTGAACCGTGTCGACCTCTCGGTATATCGCCGAATCCGCGTTCCCCATGCATCGATTCTCTGCTTCAGGTCGTCAATGCGCTCCGTCAGTTTTTGCATTATATCCGGCTGGAATAAACTAACATTTGTCCCAGCAATTGCCATCCTGATGGTGCGCACAATCCTTGGCTTCTTATTGCCTGACCTGAAGCATATCTGTTTGCCGATGAGGGTCCTAGCCTTTACGGTACGTTCTTCAATTCTTATTCTCCGGGCTGGGATAGCGCTACTTTGTCCAGTAGCGCGTCCAGCCGTGGAAAGTCTGGCGCCTATAATACGGCATACTGCCAGTGCAGTGCCAAAAAGAATTGAGTTCGTCTCGCAAAGGTCTCGGCTGGCTTCCAAATAGGTCACTAGCATTGGGTTCAGAGCCCTCACGACAGCCCGATTCCGCTTGCTTAGGGCTATGCGGGGAAGTCGCGGTCGATTTTCGAGAGGCGTACTGCGCATTTCCACAATCGCTTCTTCCAATACATTCCTCATATTATGCTCTATTACTATTATTATTGTGGTATTAGTAGTGTATTCTCATATGGTTGGGCTGAGTAAATATATAAAAGGAAATGATAAATATACATAAATCATATACCAGCACAAATAAATAAATAATACATAAATAAATAAAAGCCCAACCAGATGGAGGCCCTCGGCGGGGGAAACCAAACGCTCGACCGTTAGGGAGAAAGGGAGAGAAACCGGCGGTCGATGCGGGCGGTATCGAGGAGCACCGCTTTCTGCATTTGAGCCTGAAGCGGTACGTCACGGAGACCCAGCCTCCTCAGATGACCCGAGAAGCTGACTGGGATTAGCCCGTTTGCAGAAACGGCTACAGGAATAATTTCAGTCGGCAGACCACCCCACATGTCGGTCACCTCGTGAGCCAGGTCCAGATATTTTGTTCGTTTATCTGTTTCGGCTTTCACGAGGTTCACTATTATTATTACTTTTATCAAAAACCGACACATCCTATAGTAGTCCATTTGTGAACACAGGCCCCATAAAGATCCTTATAGGGGGATTTTACCATAGTTGCCACGTTGGCTAGCGGGTTGGCAGCCGCAGTTTTTTTACGAGCTTAGGGTTCGTGATAATAAAAACTGCCGATTGAATTACCAAAATTGACACTTTAATTGCCGAACACCAGTTAGAACTTAAAACATACTAATAATTAATTGCACTGATCACTTTATTTCGCTCCGAAAGCTTCGCTCGTATCGCCAATTCAATACTGCCCCGATCGTGGCTATTAACGGCTTTATATAGGGCTCTTCCACCGAAACATCCAGAATATTCAAGCAAATACGGGCGCCGACCGACCATTCGCAGAAAGTTCGAGTGTGGGGCTTCTAGAAAGCTAAATTCTTCCATTTGTTACTAGATGGCGCTGTTGGGAGGGTTCCAGTAAGATCTTGACACTCCTGTTTCTGATACTTGACACCAGATGGCGCTAGTGCCATCAACTGTGGTGCGCAACATTATTTTACAACGTAAATAATAGGAACAAACACAAGCGGTGAGTTAGTTTTTGAAAGCTCAGTTCATAGAGCCAATCCTACTGAAAGTAATAAGTTGGTGGGATAATTTATATGCTTTTAAAACAAAATCTCAGAAATATAGTTTCAAACAATAACTGTAGGTATAAAATGAATATTGTCATATCAAATAATACAAAAATACCTACATAAACGCTTACGTTTGTCACCCAGAGGGGTAGGCAGAGACTTCGAACTTCCATTCGGCACGATCTTGCCCCACCTATCTCGCCGCCTTGACATCCAATATACCTACGCATAGATGTTCGTCGGTTGAGTATCCCTGTCCGCGATGTAGATACAATAGTAAATAGAAATTTTCAATAGTAATTCACGGGACACGGAAAGGGTTAATTGAGCGCATTTTCGCAACCGCGCGAGTTGATCGCTTATATTTATATAAATTTTAAAAACATCCGGATTTCTTCGAAGATTTTTTAACTTCCCGCTAAAAAAATTTAAAATTTTCAAAAATAGGGAAGATTAATGGTTTCACCCCGATTTTATAAAATCGAGTTTTCATCAGATCTCAACGTTTTGAGATCCCAGGAAGCTATTCTGACTAATTTAACGTGGACGTCCGTACGGATGTATGTATGTATGTGTGTGTATATGTGATGAACTGATTCGGACGAGTAGATTTTGATAAGTCCCAAAAATAAAAATTTTGAAAAACTGTTTTTTTGAAATAATTTTCGCAGATCGATAAAAAATTACGTCGAATACCGTTTGGAAAAACAAAATCGGTTCATTCGTTCGTGAGATATCGGAGGAGAAAGAATTTAAAAAAAAACGTTTCTTTTTAACGTAACTTCGAGATTTCGCAACATAATTTGGTGAAATTTGAAGCGCTTTGCATTTGTAATTAGCATGAAGTTCCAGAGATGGCCTGCAGGGTCAACCAATTTTTTAATATAAATACGCCAAATTTTAATTTTTTGCTTGTAACACTCACGGAAAAAAACTTTTGTGAAAAACACACGGAATGCCTGTTTGTTTGGCGTCCAAATAATAATAATCTAGGGTCTGAAAATTTGAATTTTGGTATGAAATATAATGGGGGTGCCACGATACATAAAATAATTATATTGTCAGCTGACTCCTTATATGTTTTTTTATAATGATTTCTTATATTTACGCGAACATAACACATTTAAATGAAACAAGTTTTTACGTATTTTATCGCGAAAATAAACTTATTTTATATTAGCGATGTTTCAAGTACTTCACAGCACCGTAGAACACCTCAGTCTCCCCAATGTAACAGTTAACCACGGCTATCTCTACATGTAAGTTAATATACGCAATAAAATCCTTAAAAATAGTTCTATTAAAAATATTTTTATAGAATTTGGGTGACAACGAGCACAAATACGACCTAATGGTAATAGGATGCTGTGCTCATAGAGATTAGAAATCAAAATGTAGATGCGTTGGCGTCCTGAGGCATAAGATGGGATGAGATGTGATGAACGCATGATCCGTCATTATCACATCTTTGCTGCAACCACAACATTTCTGAAGCATGACTTTACCACGTTAAACTTTTACAAGTTAAACGTTACGAAAAATGGTATAAAAACTCGACAGCGTAAAGAACCTCCCCCCCCCCTTCACTTTTTCATGTTTGCAAATGCAAATAAATATTATATAGCCTTTCTTCTCTCCCAGACTTAAGATGAATCTAACGACATTTGTGAGGTACAATCCATTAAGCCACAACACAAATACAACTTTTTTATACGTGGTAGAGCCATGCTGCAATTATATTAGTAGTATAGTTGTAGCACGAATGGGTCGGCTCGACCTTGAAAGGACCACGCTCTCACAGAATACCAGCGTAAAATAGTAGCTTAACGCTGCTGTGTCGTATAGTGAGTATAGAGAATCGGCGACCCATTTTACTGGAAGCGAGGCATTCCATCATAGTCCTCACGAGTGACAACGCAACTGCATTTTGATCCGTAATCGAGGATAGATGTAGATGTCTATGGACCACAGCAACCACTTACCATCAGGTAGACGGTGTGCTCGTTTGTCAACCAATCCTATAAAAAAATACATTACACTCCTTTTTGAGCTGTCTGGCAAAAATATACCATCTTCTGAAATCAAAAAAATGTAGCCTCTAGTGTTTATTTTCAAACTGTAAAAATTCACGTTGGATCAAAGCATCACAAAGCTCGGCTACGTTTACTAGCTTTCGTTTACTGTACCGATGCACTGAAAGGGGGAAACTGGACACACTATAGTTATTTTAATTTTTTATTATGTTTTTGAGTTCCATTGTCACTTTTCCTGTTTGTCCTAATGTGGGAATAATTTGTAAATCCATTAATCATCATCATCATAACGATAACAAATCCACTGGTTAAAATAGACCTCCCCATTGATTGCCTCACAAGGGGGATATTTGGGATGGCAAACACAGATTTATTTATTTTCTAGCTTGTATTAGGAGACGCTGCCCATTTCCTGGCTTATTTTCCTCTATTGGTTCTTATATCCACGACATGATATGGAGTAGTGGATATTCTTACTCCGCTAGGTTCTTCGATTTATCCATTTAATTTTTAAGGGTCATCGTCTGTAAAACCAGGGTGCTGGATAACATACAAGAAAGCTGAAACATCCAGCAAAGTTCGACCCCAAATAAATCCATAAGTTGATATTGTTGATGTTGTTAATTGAAATGTATTTATTTGCTTCAAGATAATTACGAATAAATTATCCTTATTCAACGTAACAATTTCGTTGGCAATCAGATTTTTTAATGTGTGTATGTAAGGTAAATTCCAATTTTAGTGCTCTGTATTAAAATGAGCTAAGCAAAACTTTTATTAAATCACCTCGGTATATGTCTGTTTGTAACAAACTTTGTCGTTTGGGAGTCTTTTACGGAAATTTAAGACGGTACGGATCGCAGTAGTCCTCTATTTCGCTTTCAAGTGGTCTCAACGACTCAACATCTACGATATCAAAACTGATTTGAGGACAAGGTGGTATTTAACCCAAAAAATATTTAACGAAGTATGGGAAAGATGGCGAAATGAGTATTTAAACCAAATAGCAGCCAGAAGTAAATGAAGAAAACCGCAGCCAAATATCAAAAGTATGACATTATCATTATCAGGGACTAAAATCTTCCTTCGGGAAAGTAGCCCGTTGGCCGAGTTGTGCAGCTACACCCGGGAAACGACGGGTACGTCAGAGTTGTCACTCTTAAAATCAAACATGGAACCTTACAACGGCCAATCGTGAAGCTTTCAATTTTACCGGTTGAGCAAAATCAAGAAGGTACAAACAGTTCAACAGAAAAACTAAATCAAGAAAATGAAAATAAATCAATCCCTAAATCAAGCAGAAGGAAAAAATATTGCTCAACATCAATAGTTACATACATACATAAACACTCACGCCTGTCACCCAGAGGGGTAGGCAGAGACTACGGACTTCCATTTGGCACGATCCTGACATCCTCTTTCGCCTCCTTTACATCCATATATCTACGCATACATGCTCGTTGGTTAAGGGTACTTCTAACGTGTCCCATTTTCAAAATATCGCCAATTTGGTCGATAAATTTTTTTCTACGGCGTCCTATCCCGACTCTGCCGTTCACATCTGCCATATAAATTTGGTTTGTCACTCTTTCCTCATTCATTCTTTCTACATGTCCAAACCACCGCAGCATTCCTTTCTTAATCCTGGTCACAACATCATCTTGCGTACCACATTTATAGTATCCAAGCAGTCCGTCTATGGAATGCCCTACCTCTGTCAGTGAGACGCGCCCAGTCTTTACCTGTTTTTCAGAAACTTGTACACAATCACTATCTTAATCGTTGAGTTCGTGCCATCTATTTTTGTAGTATACATTCGTATTTTTTGTATTTATTTGTTGTTTATTTCTAATTA